ATTTGAAAAAAAAATAGTGAAGAAAAGTATGTTTGTATTACAGTGAGCTAAAAAAGAAACTTGAAATCGATAATGAAGAACTGATGGTGGTGGATGAAGCATTACCTACTATCGAAATCAGCGACGACGATGAACCCATGTGAAAAAATATGAATTGAATTATAAATAAAAAAAAAAAATATATAATAAGAAAGGATTGTTTTTGTTTTTTGTTTTTTCCCCAAAACATAGATTATATCATATAGGTATAGTTCGAACTGTTCATTACGGATCACTGTCAACAGAATCGAGTTCGAAAATCGAGTCCGTCACATCGGAACAAATAATTTTTAAAACCGCCATAGACGGTGGTGTCGGCGACGGATGTAAGCATGACTTTTCCTCGTCCAGCTTGTCGGCCGCGGCAAAATACTTTACCGCACGCTGCGCCGTTCGATTTTCGCCGACCAGACTGTCCCCCCCCCCCTGAAATATTTAAAGGGGCGGCAATATTTTACCGTGATTCTAAATAAAACGAAATCGATTTTTTCGCATTCTCAATGGAAATTATTTATGAATAAATAAAATTATATAAAAAATAATTAGTAAACTATAAAGTCATTTATATTATTTAGTATCGTACAACATTAATAACTATTTAAGAGTATTTTATTTGACATATTATTTTATTGAGATATGTGCATTGATTTATTGTTGATTTGTATGGGAATGTGACATTCGGACCGAAAGGTTCTAAGTTATTTAAGAATACCACCATTTGTCTCATCAAAGACAATTTTCTATAATTTAATTTATGTAATTTTAACTCAGTTATTATTTTGGAATCGATATTAGTTACAAATATTGCGTAACAGTGTACTGAAATGAAAATGCGAGCGGCTTTTTAATAAATAGTTGGAGACACTTATTATCGGTTTTACAAATTCAGAGAAGAGGGGCGGTAAAATGTTGTTGCTCCTAGGTGGAGAAATTTTAAATACGGCCCTGTCGGTGTGGTGTGACGACAAATTAAAACGGCGAGCGTGTTGTGCAGCGGGGCCAGGGTGGAAAGGTTATTTCGGTCCCCGGCCCGATTATTGCGGCCCTCGCCCGCGCTCAGTAACATGGGCTTTCAGCCCTTATAGTGCATTGCGAGCGGGTTACTCGCCACGAACATGTTCAGCGCGTGACGCCGTTCGAAGCCCATACCATGTAGTAGTATCTACTATTGTGTTTTTGTATTACTGTACCCAGGTACTATTCATGTGCGGATCCGGGGGAAAGTGCCAATCCAATCGGAAAATAATAATAATAAAAATAAAATACATTTAGAAGAACTAAATAATAGATAGTAAAAATCAACGTTTTAGTACAATATTGTCACATTATTTTTTGAGGGGGCCCTAAACCCTCCCCCCTTCAAGACACCCTTACATTAGCCGATGATTGGCTATAATACATAATTTTTGGATCCGCCCTCGGTACTATTAAAAAGTTTCCCACGACTCTCCGGCTGAACTACATACGGGTTGCGCATTAACGCTACACCTATATGTACCGGTTAAGTGATTTTTTTTTTCGTGGCGAGCACACACCTACGTACAATGGGAGATGGTAAGTTCCCACACGAAGCATAGCTGGTAAACATTTACATATATAAGTGCATCTACGAAAAAAAAATATACATACTTTTATATATTTTTACATGTTTAGTATATACGGATACACGTCAATTTATCGTAAACAATTTACCGCACGGCAATTGATCGAAAAATAACATTTTCAGGAATAATTCTTAATTTGAATAAATTTGATACAACTCTGGTTACATGTATGGTTAAATATATATTTTTTCGTCTTAGATTAAAAATGATTAAAAAATATAAAAATGAAACAAATTAAACTATAGTATGTAATATTTTTTATATAAATCGACAATATTAGTACATTTAATTGAATATAAAAAAAAAAAAAAAATAATAAATCATCAAGGTAGGTATTTAATAATGAAAAACGCTAAAAATTAAAGTTGCAATTGAAAATTGTAAGCAATGCCACGAAGAAAATCTTCAATATTTGTATTATTGTTATAATTGGTATATATTTTTTCTATTTTAGCTGCTCTATCTCGGTAAATATTTTTTTCGGAGGGCTCGTTACCCCCTACATATTGTTCAATTTTAAATCTGTTAATGTTCTCTTCTGCGATCAATTATCGTGCAGTAAATTATAATTGCGATAAATTGGCTTGCGAACAATTGTTTGCGGTCAATTGTCACGCGGTCAGTTGCTTACGATGAATTGACAGTACACCAGTATATACATTTATTTATCATATTACCATTTATACATATATATCAATTAAATATACTGGTATGTAAATTCCTACACCAAAAATTTTACCGGTACGTAAGTTTCTACACGAATAAAAGTACGTAAAGTAAGTTTTATTGCTGAAAAATCAGATCATAATAAAAAATAAATAAACTTTGCGATTATTTAGTGACAATTTTCATACCAGGAATATAGTACTTTCCTCTCTGGTATTTAGACTAGTGCTAATTCTTATAAATGTCTTACTACAAATGTTTGTGAAAGTTTTCAATTCGAATTCAAATCAAATATTTACCATTATTACCCTAATATTTTCAAAATAATAGAAATTTTAAAAAATTTTCAAACAAATAAATCAAAATAAGAACATCAGATAAACCTATAATATAGATGTATACACTAATAAACATAACAAGTTAGCAAAATAAACAAAACTATATAAACAATAAAATATTAGAATACAAATTTAAACAATTAATACAGTATGATTATGTTAAAATGTTGAGCTTTCATTATAAGCCACATACAATTTAATATATTATTATTATTATTATTATCATCATACTATATTCGTATAATTATACGAGTATATGATGTATGATCTCGTATGATTATACTCGTATATAGTCATAAATGGAAAATATTCAATTAAAAATTGGATTACATTTTCTTACAACATTTTTACTTTTTAACTCTTAAATATGTACTTAAAAACTCTAAAATATGCGCAATAAATAGCGCGAAAAATAAAAAATATGCATTTAACTTGAAAAAAAGTTAAATGTAATTTTACAAATTTTTGGGCTCATAGACGTTTGGACTGGTTGAATTATAAACTGTTAACAAAAATGTTAAATTAATTAAATATATTTATAAATGTGTACTAATAATTAAATTATTTTATAAAAAATTGGAAACCACCCTGAATTATAAAAATGTTTGATAATCCAATGCAATGATACAATAAAGGAATAAAAATGACATCACTAACTATTAATAAATCAAATTTTCGATGAATACATAAAATAATATTTGATGAAGTCTATTTATTTCCAATAATTCAAATATTTTTAAAAATATAACCAAGTAAATACCAGGATTATCGACAAAATGTGATTATTTTCTGTATTATGTGAAAATATACCAAAAAATAGCACCATAAACCTTAAATTAGCATAATATCAATCCCGTAAATATGCAAAATTAAATGTTGTGTATTATATCCAAGTAGTGTGAAACATATTTGTTTCTTACTTTGGATGTTCTAGGATGAACCAAGAATAATATGCATTTTCTAGAACTTCCGAGCTCTGCTCATTACAAAATTGTAATCACACCCATTACACTATCAGTCCTAAGTCTGGATAAATTAGGAAGAAAATTTGTATTCGTTATAATTTTTATTTGTGTAGAAACTTACGTACTGGTATATTTTTTCCGTGTATGATTTTACGTAGAGTAGACAACCCAAAGGTGTTACGAGTAAAATACGATTGCCGCCGTCGAAAAAAATTTCATATGGGGAATAATTTCATCGCGACATAGACATATATATTAATTTGGCGCTCACACGTTCACATTATCGTTCTTCGATCTCACGAGTTTGAAACTAATGTTTTATTGGTTTTAAAAAACGATTCGGAGCAAAGGAGAACGGTGGCAGATCAAATTATATGTATACAGATAGCTTATATGGTTATCTTTCTGTGTTACCTATCTAAATCGTTTTAACGGGTACAAAAAATAAAAAACACATTGTAATACGTGCTGGATTCACTGATCTTGAATTAAAATGTATTAAACAAGATTAAGGAAATCGTCAACTAACTAATGTTTTCAGTTCGATTCGTACATAATAACAGATAGTAAATTCGATATGTAAATCAATCAATCGACCGTAAATCGTTTAACTAATTTGGAATCAACGTTGGTTTTAATAAAATAGCATACGATGACACATTTTGAAGTTTTATTTATACATTATATCAAGGAGTAAATCGTTCGTATGCTGCGTCTCAGATGTGTTAACTAGATAGTAGAATGTGATATTATCAACGTATGCTGTTTACAAATAGTGTAAACAGCGCGATATCGTTAAATACAAATATTGATACATAATATACCTGTAGATAGAGCTCTTGGAAAACGGTGACCATATTGCACATGTATTTTATTCGTTACCATACGAACTATCTAATTGGTCATAATTATCTAATTTATAAATAAATATATTTAATACAAGTATAAATAGGAATAATTGTAATATCAAATGAATTGTACATCTTAATTAAATTGCTTCCCGTGTAAAATATAACACAACGGTCCAACGAGAATACCTGAAAAGTACCTGTTGAACACTTATATATTTCCACTGCTCGTTATTGTTATACGTTATTTGCCGCGGTGCACTGCACGTTCACCCGTTCAATTGGAATTGTATTTTAAAACAAAAACCGAATCCGTTAGAAAAAGGAAAAAAAAATGGTTGTCCTTCCTCTGATAAACTGTTGATGTAATAACTGTGTCGATTCCGTTGCAGACACAGCTCATTATAATAATAACGATATTACACCGAAGTAATTATGACTACTGAACACATGGAACAACCTACTACCACTTCCAACAACTGCGCGTACGAAGCCGTCGGGAATGTCTGACGGACGGACGCGAGAGGACGTATAATAAAGCTGAAGAAATCGATCGCGGTAAAGTGAAAGTTTCGTCGAGAGAAAACCTGTGTTGCGTGGGGACATATGAGTTCGTACGGTACTGCTATTATTTTTCGACGACAGTCGACCGTCTTATCGCTCGCACGATGGTTCGTAAAGTATCCACGCCACTGGCGCGTCTCCTGCTGCCACTGATCGCGTTGTTCGTGACTACACGTAAGTACAGACAATTTACATATATATATATATATATACATATATATATCGTATATACGCATTAACATGTACCGCACACGTAGTACCTACGCCTAATCTCGCACACAGAACGTGTAAATTCTATAAAAACATTGGTAGTAGGTTAATACATATATCGCACGATATTATGTTCCGTTCTAGAGACGACATTAGTTTTCACTTACTGTCGGTATGTGGAATTCCTAGTTCGCGAAAAAATACTAATGCGAAAATCAACGTCGAAAAACTGGACGTAACGGGAATTGTTTTTTTTTTTTTTTTTTACGCTTGGCCAAAGCGTTTTTCTATTACAATATACGGCTTACGTCTCGTTTCCAACCGCGTCTAGTTAACACGAGTTCGACTTACGCGTAGTACCGAGTAATAATGGCTGCACATCGAGAACGGATTAATTTGCTCGGGAATATCAAAAAATATACACTCGCGTTTAGAACATTTTTGTAATAATTAACGATTTTTTTTTCATACGTGTGAAAAATGTTTATTTGTCGCGTTAAAAATTATGTGACGGAAATCGAAAAACGCGCTATATAGTGTACAATTTGCTTGGGAAAAAAAAATTAAATCGATGCACACGTACCGATATAAACGTGCTGACGATGATAAAGTAAACGAACAAGAACGATTTTAAAATCCAGTCAAAATACGTAGAGATGTGCATTCGTACTGTATGTAAAAAAAACGATCGTTTTCACCAACCGTTTGAGGTTTGAAAACCGCGCGATGATCAACGTATTAATGTCTACCGGTCATGTTTGTCACGTATAATTATTGTTAAAACGCCTGGGTCGCTTGTTAAAATGTTGAATATTTGATGTACGAATGTTTATGGAATCACGAGATGACGCGACGGGAGAAAAATCCAAATTTCAGCTATCCGAAATTCATTTGCACGACGATTCCGTTTTACCGCGATTTTCGAATTCGGTTTTCCGTTCCTCGAACATAAGATTCGTCTCCTAAGCCTTTCCGTCGACCAGACGACCCGGAGCGTTGCGGCAGGACGATACCGAAGACCGAAAGCGTATCGCACGCGCGTAAACCGTCGTCGAGCGCGTAGGTATATGGTATATTTTACGGATATAGATTGAGGTCACCGCGAACCGGCCGCGTACAAATAACACGCTGGAACTCGTGCACCTCGTCGGAACGCGAGTCGAAAACGAAATCGAAAACGTATTATTATTTATAACGTTACTGTAACGCCTCGCCAAGGCCGTGTACAATACAGTTCACCGGATGATTGTTACTTTCGGTCCGAATGCGTGTTTTCAAGCGCACACCGTAACCGGACAGGTTTACTACGACGTTTTCGGACGGTCCCGCGAAAGTCTCAACACCGGTAAGCCGCGTGTAATAATTAACATCGAAACGTTATTGTCGTTATTATTATTATTATTATTATTATTATTATTACTCGGACATAAATCGTCTCGTACGTTTTACCGCTGCGGTGCGCCCGAAAAACGCGCGCGTACGATGTTAAAATATGTCGTACGTTGAACCGTTGAACCAGTCCCAGCAGCGAGTCGGTCAACGAAATCTAAAAAGATCTATGACTCCGCGACAACGCGTGGTGTGCGGAGACATCCGGAAACAGCGGCCCGGGTAAACGTGGATGTAAGAAAAATGATACGAAAATGGCGAAATAAAATTATGAACGCAAGCTGGGTGACGAAACGCGATCGTGGAAAAGTTATCGTTGCGAAGATCATTCGACAGCGGAGATGAAATGCTAAATCCGTCGACGTACTACAGCTCTGCTGTACTACATCTCCGTTTGCAATGGTTGTTGTCGCGATTAAATCATCTCCGCGCGCGTTTTAATACTGAAACGCTAGAATAGTTGTACATTTGTGTGTTTATCCGAGTACGGACTGTGCTCATTGGAAATATGATTACAACGTTTATATAATCACACTAGTCTCGCTCATAAACCATGATAAACGTACGCGCGAACGAATGCACGAGTACAACGTAATCGATCTCTTCGGGGAGATTTAAACGTACCGCGGTTGGGTCAGGTCGTCCGATCGGTATTCGTTGTGGAATCGGTGCGAGGTGCGTGTTCCGATGGACCGATTTTCCGGTAATCACGTAAAATGCATACTAGCGTTCACTTGGATTAATTTTGAATTTTTCCGCAAACGCATCGCAATACAGGATTTATATCCTTTTTCGATAAGACGGAATAACGTACTGACGTAAATCATCTATAGACATATGTGTTAAAAGTATCAGTTGTTGGTCAATGATACGGTTTATCGTTTTAGTACGTGTTCGCTATCGCTTTAAAAACGATCATAATACGAGTATACATATTCATCCGAAACGCGAATGGAATTGTGTGGCGGAACAAAGTTTGCAGACTTAGTCATCGAATATCGTAGTACTTTTAGTCGTAAACGTGGTTAATATTTATGAAATGTTGTACACAGTAATGACCTAAATATATCTTACGCAATATCGTTTACATAGAAAAACGACACGGTCATTCTACAGAGGGTTTTTCAAATCACGTGTCTATACTGTACCTATGTCATGCACAAAACCAAGGTCTAAAAGTTTTGTATTTTGTCACTGCCCACAACAAATCACAATCATTCCTCAGTAATCCGACAGTAAACAAATTAAATAAAACAAGTTATATTATTAGATACTATATTTTTGAAATATATATAGTATTGTAAAGATTAATAAAAGCTCTACATTTGTTTTTTAGAATGAAAAACATAAACTTAATATTATTTGTACAACGTTGGTAATTTATTCACGAAGAGGAGAATTAGCCATAAGTATTTTATTATATTTTAATAAGAATAATGAATAAAAAAAAACAATTTACACTAGGTATTGTGATTTGAATCGAATCAGCGGGAGACTGGCCGTGACACTGAATTCAATATGAAACACGTACATGTGCGTTAATATATATATTTTTATATTTTTGATTTGTTTTCCCATCAAACTGTTTATTTTAATAACGAACCCGAAATACTAGATTATCAACAAAAAGAAAGTCTTGGCGACATTAAATAAAAAAAACCTCTCTAAAACTTCTCCTTGAAATCATTTGTTATCAGATAGTTATAATGTGTAAAGTAACATCAGTACAGGTGACGTGACGTAGGAATATAAAAATAAAAATGTGCGTACTAAATGTAGTGAAATTATTCATTCACGTTTACAATATGTACCATTAATTCGAATACAAACAACCGACGAGTGTTATTTATGTAAATATAGTATTCGGTCATTTGCTAACCCATACCGAAACACATTTAACGATTGTGATTATTATTATTATTATTATTATTATTATATCATCTAATTAACAGGACTAATAATTCGTAACAAATATAGTACTATTATTTCACTGTAAAAAATTCGAATCGTATATTTCGAGTATATTTTCGTGTATATTAATAATATATATCTGCATATCTACTTGTTTTTAAAACAGGTACTCGAAGTAATCCAGAAATAATCATTCTATACTGACTAATAATAAAATAAATTTGTGATTATACTAAAAACAACGACAAATAATAAATAAAACAGCTAGATAAAAATTCTTTACATTTAGTTCGATACCCAAGTCAAAAATTGTCTTTTCGTTTCATATTCAGTGTAAAAAGTTTAAACGACAGTATCTATAGATCATTTATGTAAATTCTTATTTCAAAATGTTTCCAATATCCGCATAGGCACATTATCTTACTATAATCGAACGGCGCAACAGTATGTGTGTGTGTGTGTTTGTTATAACGACGAGAACACGTATTTTCTCTACGATGATAATTATTATCATTGAAAACGAATAACGTTATATACAGTATTCTAAATTCTTATCGCGTAATATACGCCGTGGGTACGGAAAATAAACGAAGAAAATAATTAAAATTTCGCAACGGTTTCCGTTTAATTATACAGTATGATTCGTTTCACGGCCCTTATTAAATGCAATATTAACCGACTAGAGAATCTAATGTATGATGTTTTCTCTTTTTATTTCATTAAAGAGCTCAAAATCTAAAACTATCGTTCCGTATTTCCGTGCAGTAAGAAAATTGTTAAGATTTTTTTAGTTCTAAATGTTAACTTGTTTTTTTATCTATTATTATTGTATACAAGATACTGTTTATATTTTCATGCTTAGAATATACTTTTTACAGTTACAACTAAAATTTAAAAAAGCAGTTAAAATAAACCACTTTATCAACCAGTAGTTTGTTACGTTATGTACTTAGTACTTAATACTTAATAAAAATGTATATATATATATATTGAAACCACAAGATATCAGTGTTATAATGATAATTTCGCAATTATTTTATTAGTATAATATTATTTTGAATAAAATTTAATTTCACGATTCGTTAATTGAATTTGCAACGTTAAATACTGACAGTTAAAATCATAAAAATGTCTGAAGTTTTTCATAAGTTTGATGTTCCGAGAAAAATAACATCTTAAAGAAATAATCAACAAATATTGGAAACATAATTAATCGATAATATTATAAACGACGTACTTACATATTGTACCTATTTGTAGTAAGAGTAGGTACACCTATTATTATATTTTTTATATTATTATTAATTATATTATAGGTTAACTGTAATCTACTCTATTATTGACCAATAAATAAATATAATTCCATTGTTTGTATTTATATGTTTTACAGACGTCAACGCTACGATCTTCGTGCCAGAAGAAATCCCATCGTTATTGTCGGTGGTCTACAGTAACATACCACCGATTAAAAAAGGTAAATATCGATGACGAAGAACCCCATTTATAAACATTAGAATATCAAACGCAGTAAATTATTAATAAAAATAAAATGTACCGAATACGTAGTTAGAGATAGCTATTGAACATGACACATGCATTTTTCTAAAAACATCAAATATTACTTTTATGTAATACGATAGCCACAAAGTCGCATAATATAATCTATATAATAATAATTACTTATTATAATAATTTTCAGTTAGGCGCCTAGGTCGTTCAGGTTGCCCATAGCTTTCGCCGACCATGATACAGATTATTATTATTTAAGGACGACAATATTTTATTTACTAAAAATTAATATCTACGGCGCATATTCGTGTTGCCACAAAGTTTCAAGAATTATTTAATTGATATTATGGTTAATAGTGTATTGATTACGTTTTACTTTTATTTTTTCAACAAAAACCGTAAATTCTCGTCAGCAAAGATATTTATGAGTTTTTTAACACCCAAGGATTTCAATAGTGCTAAAACAATAATATCATGCAACTTATTACAGTGTTAAACGTAATGCGAATAAGTTTATCGCAATCGTTTATTTTTACTGTCGAGTTTACACTGCAGTTGAACACTTGTACTTGCCGGAAACGAATGAATAATAATAATAATGAATAGACATATTTTAGTACGCACAATATTATACGGTTTATTGTAATATCGCAGACGTTAATAGTAGTGACAGGACTGTTTAGTGACGTATGTACAATTTATAAACAATCGAAGAGTACGTATTTATTTCAATACAAATCTTATTTAGTAAACCAAATGTTCAAATTTGTGTCCATGATTAACAGTGTACGCAATTAACCAATCTACCAACACACGTGCGACATTTTTCTATTCATAATAAACATTCGTTTGACTATTTTAATTAACTTATTTGACACCTGACAGGTCGAATAAACTGTAACAATAGTAGGTAATATACCAAGATAAAAAATAAATATTGAATCCAAAAACACGTACGTAAAAAATTAACATGACAATACCGTAATTATATAGTACATTATATAATATATACAATTAAAAACGTTTTTGATAAATTCAAAATACCTTTATTAACGTCCATAAGGCTTTAATTTTTTTATTAATTCCTTTTTAATTTTATCTAATAAGATCATAAAAGTAATCTTGATCGTAAATGGTACAATAATTCGGTTATATGACATTCGAACCGTACATGGGTTAATATTTTTTTTCTTAATTATTGCACCAAAGATCTATCGCCGTATTAGTTAATAATACAAATTTAACTTTATTTAAAATTATTATAAAAAAAATTGAAAAGTCGAAACATAACATTTAACAAATTGCGTATTTTCGTCCGACTTTACGACCAAATCGGTTATGTATTAATGTAAAAAGAAAAAATATGTTCATGAGTAGAAACACCCGTCGAACTTTGTTTGCACTACATCCCAACGTTTCGATACGAACAATCGAGTATCGACTATCAGAGTATTGTATTATACCGTATGTGTTAAAAAATCACATCGAAATTGTAAGGAGAAATGGGCGCATGCAAATTTCGCCTAAAATAGACTACAGGTAAAATAAGATATATGTAAATTCCGGCCAAAAAATATACAGGTAAAGAAATATGCATGTAAATTCTGCCCGAAAAAAATTGATGGTTAATAAATACATCCTACATATAACTTATAAGTTATAAGTAAGAAGTATTACTTAATGAAGCTTAAAAGTTTAAAGTTACTTTTATTTGTATTTTACGATCAAAACCGTATAGATATAATAGCCAATAGGTTTATAAAGAATATATTTATTACTTACTGTTAATGAACAAATTTCTGAACTGGTCTTATTAATCATACTGACTTAACATAGATTAATCATTATAATTTATAAGTAGGTATTTAAATAAATATATATTTCATATATTAAGTCAACGATTACCACATATTATAAGTCATGTATGTTGTATATCATATAAAATTGTTAAGCGTATAATACTCTAGGACGTGTACTGAACACAATTTATAATATTTCTATCTGATATTTCCAATTATTAGATCCACAATATGTGGCGAAGCTGATAAGATATGACATGATTGACGATTGTACCGTGTTCATTCGAACATTACAGTCATGGGAAGCTTAGTTTAAAATTTTTTTTTTTTTTTGGGCGGAATTTACAAATCGATTTTTGTACCTGAGCAGGTTGAGAGTATATATGTGTCAGTGTATTATTGTTAGATCTCCAATCTCTTACGATTTTGATTGGGCGTCGTTCATAGCCGCACACTTTCAAAAACAGGTCATCGTTCAAAACCGCACACTTTTATATCTTAATCCCACATATTTTCGCCAAATTAAACTGTTCAATACCGCACAAATTTATATATATATCAATTACGTACACATTTATCTAAAATAACATGAGTGCACCTCAGCGGGGTCACTCGCTCGCTCGAACAGTTAACAACGAAAATATCCCCCGATTTTTTATGTAACATCATCCCAAGCGGGTCCCAGGATAAAAAAAAAGATTTTGTGTGGGACTCATCCGAAACCGGCAACGTGAACTGTACATGCAAAATGTGCAGAGAGAAAGGAACTGTTAACCAAATGTGTGCGGTTTTAAATTACCGACCTTTAAAATTTCCCTTTTTAACAATAGAATAAATATGTGCGGTTATAAACGGTGAGTGTGCGGTTTGATTATACCCATGTACCTACATATTTTCCCGGGCGGAATTCATCATAGACCTTGTTTTTACCTATTAATTTCGGGCGGAATCTACAACACCCCGGAGAAACAAACCATATCCGCCACCACATACGGCATAAGGCACAGTAATCTGTTTACGGATTATTTGTGTGCAAAGAAATGACACGTCCTTACACTGTAACTATTGTGTCAGCCAGAGCGGAACAATTAAATTGGCTCCTAAACCCGGGCGATAGATTTTTTTGTTCGAAAACGTACCGACAAGGATTTCTAAGAATCCGATTTTGCCACATGGTCTGCTCCCACCAATAGCGTTGAATCAAAACAGTAGTATTGTGTACCGTAATATTGAATTGTACCAACTGCATATTTAGTGTGATCTTGTAATACTGTCACAAAGTATTGAACCAGAGACAATTTAAATACAAGTACAAGGTGAAATATTTCAACAAGACTTGTGTCGAACTCATAGACTTTTCTTTCCAAAGATTACTTTTCGTCTTCTCCGACCGATACATCGGTTTTTCTAATCAATATTATCGGTACACGGTTTTAAAAAGTAGTCAAAATGAAACAAGTCTGTATGTACTTGTACAGATGAAATTAAAAACAATGTAATATCAAAGCAAAATTTCGTCGACGGTGTCATTCGGATCGCGGCAATTATTTTCCGCTTAAAGATATGTATATTACTCCTATCTCGAATGTTTCATGTTTTCGTCAAATCTCTTATACATTTATAATCATACTAAAATGATCGTTGAATTCTCTCGCCATATTGTCATCGAATAACTGAGATCTTTAATAACTCTGTAAACATTTGTATTATATCGACAATTATATAAACGCTATATGAGCGGTGCGCAGCCTTTTTTGATCCACGACTCTCAATTAAATTTGTTTCCTTGGACCCCTTTCCCATCAACATTGTGTAAGTGTATAATATATACAAAAATCGTATTCATATAAATCAAACCGTTCGTTTTAGGCAATTATAATATTTCTTTAACTTAATTAATCGAAGAAAAAAAAAATAATAAAACAAAATACAAAATTATAGTTTTATAAAATAATGTGCATAATACATAACTGTTGGTGTTAAACTGATGACGACCGTCGGGTCGCGCAACACTGCATACATACGTTAAACGTTAACAACTTAAGAGAGCGTTTGGGCCGCTTAAACATTTTTGAATAAATAGAAAATTAAATTAAAAAAAAACGTTTTCACGATCTTCACGCGCGGATTTTAACCCTCCGACGTTTGTCTAACACTGTCCTTTCGCGCAACAGGTACGGATTCCCGGCTGGGAGTGGGCTTCCGGCTGGGCCCGAACGCGGACGTGCAGTTTCAGCTGGAACTCGGGCCGCAGACCAACACGCAACCGATCGGGGCCGCGGCCGCGGGGACGAGCGGCGGCGGCGGCGGCGGCACGGCCGCGGCCAGCAAGAGGCACGCGACGGTCGCGCCGGCCGGCGGCGGCAAGCCCAAGGACTGGTTGAACGCGTGGCGGTTGCAGATGAGCCCGGGCTACGTGCCGGCGGACGACGGCGGCCGCCGGGCGGAGACGGGTCACGCGGACGACCACGGTGGACCCGCGGACGCGGTGGCGCACCTCCAACAGCTGTACAAGCCGCAGCCGGCGGTGGCCCGCGAACGCCGATCCGAAGACTCCGCCGGGAACGGTCCGAACGGGAAAACGGCGTACGCGTCCGACCGCGGCGCGCACGTTTCGTAGGATCGGCGCTCGTCGCGGACTCCACTGCAGCGTTTCCGAGACCACGTGCGTTGCCGCCCCGGGCGCCATGCTGCGGGGATACGTTTCCGAGAACACGCGTGTCCCTGCTGCCACCGCCCGAGCACCGTGCCCGACGATCACGAAACGTTTCCGGAAACGTTACGTACACCTCAGCGGCGACCGTTCGCAGTGATAAGTCCGTGCGTTCCGTTTCGCTAAACTCGTGCACGCACGTCCACCGTTTTCGTCGTTCGTCACGATCGCGTCGTGTCCGCCTGAAACGCGAAACGTTAATTTATTTTCGTCGCCCCGCGAAGCTGGTGCAGGCATCCCGAAAACGGTTTTCCATTATCATATGTAAATATTCATCACGTTCATTACGTTCCGTCGACACGCCGTTGAATAATAAACGCGACTCGGTACGAACAACACTCGTGTAAACGATAATCGAATATCAATACGGACGTACTGCACGTAGTATGCGGTGGAGAGTTTCCGTGTGTTATACGCATGCATGCCTATGTTAATGTTCGATAATATTTTATGTACAGTGTATTATGTTATTAGTTGATTTCATTTCGTATATAGATATAAAAATATGTACTTTTTTTTGTTTGTTTCTAATATAATGGTATAAATCAAGAACAATTTTCAGTTATTACAATACATTTTAATGACACGTACTCGTACCTTGTACACAGAGCCGCAGCAAGGATGGCGGGAAGTTCCCGCATCCAGGACGAAATTCCTGGAGAGGGGAGGCGCAAAAAAAAGAAATATTTGTATTTTATGTTAAAATTTTCAACAGTCAACTGTTGAAAATAATATCTTATACCTAACTATAATGTTTTTCAATTAAAAATACATAAGGGCGCATTTTGAAGTTCCGCTCCTGGCGCAATATTCGGTTGCTATGATACTGATTGTACATGACTGCATAATTGTTTTCGCTTATACGTTGTTAACTATTATGACTGCGTCGCGTTATGAACTTCTCCGCAGAAACTTTTCGAATATCCGTATTATATGAATATAAAAACGGGGGAAAAAAACGATGTATTGTTATGTTTTTTTAATGCCCGCAATTGGTGTTAACAATGAACCATTATATACGTCGAAATATTGTTGGAAAATATTATAACGCGTTGCCGTTTAATGCGTTTACGTTCTCGCGTTAAGTACACGGTAATATTATGCGTTAAAAATATTTCCACGAGAGAATGTTCTTCCACATACACAGTGCGATTTCGAGCAATAAACGCAAAACATAACCGTAAACTCGCAACGCTTATAATACGTTCGTTTGAATTATTTCCACGGGTATAATTTCACGGCTTTATATCAATTGCGCCGAAAATCGCAGGTAAAGAAAAAAAAATTATGGGATGGAAAAAAGTATACATCTATTGCGCCGGTATAAAAAGAGTATAATTTAAAGGTATAGGTACATCTATTGCGCCGATCGATATTCGAGTTAATACATTTTGCGACTACGTCATTGATACAAAATTGATGAAAATGCAACTTTTCCCTCGTATCTTTGGCCATCATGTAACATATCAGGCGAAAGAACAACAAATGTCTGTGAGGCATTTCACTCGGCGTTTAGGAAGTATTTTTATTCACCCCATCCAAATATTTTTGTTTTTTATGAAGTTTTAAAAATAATCTAACGCAACAATCATAATAAGTATTCTCTTAGTTATCACAAATAGATCAAACTCTAAATTTATGACAAAAAAATAAATAGTAAAATAGACGTAACTAATTTTAATATTAGACTTAAGAACTTTTCAAAATTTGTAGGATTAGTGTAAATATATATTATAATATTAGTGTAAATACCAAGTATGTAAAATGATGTTTGATTTTAATTTTAATTTTTGTTTTTAGCCATTATGATTTTTACTTATACTGTATAGTTGTTATAAGGGCGTAATAGATGTATACCTTTTAAATATAGCCTTTTTATACCGGCGCAATAGATGTATACCCTTTTTATACCGGCACAACAAATGTATATTATATAGGTAGTGTCCCAAATGCGGCGCAATTGACGAATACCGAATTTCACAGCGTTTGAAATCTCCGGCCCTCTGTAAAAATACACGGGCTGTACGGACCTGAGATCATACTTACATATTAATGAACATTATACTATAATACAATATTTTCTACAAATCAGTTGGTACTCAATAAGTATTTGAATACAGCTATCTATAAACATTTTGAATAACGCCCGTTTAAAATAAAACACAAAAGTGTTTCTTGGGTTAGAAATACGGTATCTTATTTTTTTTTCAATTCGTGTACACACCTTTTGCAATGAGAGAACATACATATACACACGCACACACAAATATAAGTATAGTTTCGGTAGATTTCGAGATAAACCTTTAAAACGTTCACTTTAACATGGTAAAAAACCTTTTAAGCCACCTGTAAACAGAAAACATAGTTATTTGAGCTCCTCTCCATCATTTCCCACGAGGTGTTTGTGCAAAGGAGGCAGCAAGGCCACCGTATAGTGCGAATAGAAGCTATACGTACAGCGGTGTCTCTTATACGACGAAAAACTAATTATTCATTTTTTATTCTTTTTAGAGGGAAAAACGTTCTATTCAATGCACTATTAAAAATTAATATGTTTCGAAAAAAACAGATTTGAAAATAAAAATAAACATAATAAAATTGTTTTAATAAGATTAACCGGTCTAATGGACGTTGACTAACAATGCGACAACCAGGCGCGGGAACAAGAGGGACTATGGGAGCTGAAGCCCCCCCCCTCCTTAGGTAGAACCATATCGGACGGAAGTACTTAAAATATTAAAAAAATTAGGCATAAGAAAGACTTAGTTTAAATCGACATATGCGACGAATTATAGCAGTGACTCACTTTTCTAGCCCCCCCTTTTTTTTCATTTATAGATCCACGCCTGGTACCTGCTGCATACAATACAGCATAATTAGTTCTGCACTGATATTATTTCAGGTAAACTCGTTGAGTAGACAACTTTTTATCGGTTTCGTTTTAACCGCAAAATGAAAATTTTCCACTGGAAAATCCCTACCATTGCGAACGCGTTACTACGACTTGTATTTTCTATACCGGTAGGAGTGCATACTTTTGAAACAATACGAAAGTTTGGAATCATCTCAACGCTGTCGAATCTTTCGGAAGCGTACTGATCAGTACAGCATCAGCGGATCGGAGCAATTACATCAAACGGTATTATTACATTTACGTGGAATTCGATGTGCGAGGGTTGATTACGTCACGATTGCATGTCACTTAAGAAATGGGGGTGAAACGGGACCGGAAACGGAGCGTGCGGTGTCTAGAGTGTAACGAAAACGGAATCAGACGCCAGATAGGACGTAGAGTAACGTTGAAGAGTAAGAGTGAGTAACGTACGTTTCAAGTCTTCCGCGAATGTTTCCAATCGGATGTGTAATAATAATATTATTCATTAGGTCAACGGGTTTTCAATAGAGACGTTGTGCGGTGTCTAAAACCGAACGTAAAAAAACACTTAGGTTTCGGCCGGGTGTTATTTTTCTGACGCGCACGTCCGTACGTAATATACGTCGAAATACATTATACGCGTGCGCGCAGTGCCCCGTCCGGTGTTTAGGGTCGTGACGTTATCGTCACCGCGTCCGTGGCTGCGCACACAAAGACCGTGCAAGCGCGTCCAAGACGAAAACATCATATAACAATAAAAATAATAATAACGAAACCGGACATGTACCACGGTCGAGGTATTATTTATCGGGTCGTACGTGCGGACGAAAATACGTTCGACGCCGATTCGGTTTTATAGCCGGGTCGGTCACCCGGCGGCTACGAGAAATGAATATAGGATCGTCCCTCCCCCCTCACCCCCCGGACGACATTATTCTAATATCGTTTTATAATATTATCGTCGTTAAAATTCCTTCGCCGCGCGCGCCGCCGCCGCCGTATCCGTCCGAGACGCATTCCGCGCGTCAACGAAAATAATTACAACAATGACATTGATCCATTTTGACGAACGAATAAATGTTAAAACCCCGAAGGCTGTGATCAAAAGTAAGTAATGTTATGCTCGCAGGATCAACGTCGATCACGAAAACCGTCTTGAGTACACGGATTTTGTTTGTTGAAGAGTAAGAATCGACGAGAACGATTCTTAATTTATTACGACGTTACACACATAGGGTAGGGCGGTACACCGGACTGTTGGTTTTTTGGTCTGTCGTATAAGGAAAATACGTTATGTCCGGAATGTTTTCAGACTAATTTTTATTCGATTCACGGCCAATCGTCGATTCAATACGAGAAGAAAAAAAAACCAGAAATCAATCGTTTGGTTGTTAACGACTACCCGTTGCCCGGTTGCCGACTTAGTTGGTATTATTGTGGCTATCCACCTTAATGTCGCATGTGCTATGTACGGAAACGTGGAAAACCTCTTCGGTTTCGTTCTAACTTCTTAACTAGGTATACCTATGGTTGTACGGTAAACGGTCACTTTGTACTGTCCATTGTTTAAAATGCAGAACGCGGACATTTAGTACGGTCTGGTAAAAAGGTACATTGCAGAACGCGGACACTTTGTACTATTATATACATAAAGTATATATTATAAATATAAGTTTTATACCTAAGTAGTAACTAATAATTATTTACAGATTTTTACATGTAGTTTGATGATAGAATGATATTATTGATTATTTGTTTATTTAGATTATTATTATTAATATTATTATACAATCAATATTTTATAACAATTTTATTTTTATTTTTTCTATTTTAATAATTAACACTATACATAATTATTAGTTACTACTTAGGTATAAAACTTATATTTATAATATATACTTTATGTATATAATAGTACAAAGTGTCCGCGTTCTGCAAAGTACCTTTTTACCCGACCATACAAAGTGTCCGCGTTCTGCAATGTACCTTTTTACCAGACCGTACAAAGTGACGTAGAACCATGCATGTACATATGCATATAGTCCACATTTGGATTCCGTTGTACCGTATCGGATATTCAATCGCGTTGAAGCGCACGGATTAGATTACCTTTGCGAACCGCTGCGAAGTCTGCCGTTTGGGCGCCTAGGAAAGCGTTTAATATTCCGTACGTAATGCCAGTGGCGTAACTGGGAAAAAACCTAGGGGGGGGGGGCAATATAATATATTTATTATTACCAAAACCCTGACACCCCTCCCCCTCACCAGTTAAAACATATTTTTATTGTATGTATTTTATACACTATATCTAATTGTTTAATTTTACATAAGTCTTTTAACTCATTTTATGGTTTAGATAAACATAAATTGTAGGTAGCATGTACTAGGTACCAATATTGTTAAATAATATCCATAAGAGCTCACAAACAAAAGGTGCTATTTATACTGTTGGATTATCTGAGGGGGTAAAATTATACCTTTATCTCTCAAAAAATGGTTAGAGGGGGCACTTGAACGCTAATGAGACGAGATACAGGTGGTGGAACGAGTGACTTCTGTTGTCGGTGAATAATTTAATTGATTGTGTTTTTGAAAAACCATTATACGATACCGAGGCAAAATTATTTTTCCGCAAGAACGTTACGGAAATTTAAAAAAATAATTGTCAAACAGAACTCGCGAACCGTTGAAGACAAATGAAATCAAATACTATAAAATAGGGATTTTTATTTTATTTCACACGGTTTTCGTACGCATGGAATTGACGTACTCGATCGAAAAATCTACGAAAAGAAAATCGTTACGGGCCTTTTATATCTTATCGAAATTAAAGTATGGATATGTGTGGTTTAATATTTTTTTTATTATTTACTAAAAATCGCACTCACTGTCGACGTTGCCGATCAATATTTATGTCAATCCGTGAAGTGTATAGTATTATACAAACATATAAAATAATGCAATAGATGAAATAATAATGAAATAGTTATAACAAATTACAACTATTGAACTAGGCACATCAAAAAAGTTGTATTGACACTTTTAGAAGAAATATTAGTTCATCATTATTATACAAACCGAGAGATATAATAATAAGCTAGAACAGAGTTAATGTAAAAAAAAATATTATAAAAACAATATGACGAAAATTAAACAAATGTAAATTAGCATGTAAGCATTTTTTTTTTAAGTAGGTTAAGTTTGATGATAAAGAAAGGAGAGAAATGTGTAACTAAATGGATTCTTATGGTGACCGTATGATACGGTCATGGTTAGGTAGTGTGCCGGCGTTTTTCTAAGTATTTTTATTTATTTTTGTGTGGACGTTCGTTTTAATCGACGTATACGACAAGTGGATTTAAATCGGTAGGCCACCTAACACGCACGAAAAAATATTAGATTGCACTCCACCGCGTAGCACGGATTATTATACATAAAATAAAATAGAAATAGAAATTAATATAATATTAAAAATAAATAAATTAAGTTTAATATAATTTAATTCATTATACTTAATATATATTTCAATATTTTATGTTATTTTATTTAATACAATTGTTTTTAATGATAATAATTTTGTTTTGGCCAAGTATTACAGTTGGTTAATTTAATTTAAATTATATACATTTTTTTAAATTCAATTATTTTGGCCATGTTCGCCACTGAAGAAAACCACATATTTGCAATATAGGAGAAACTAATCAGAACACTAAATTAATATAATCATGTGTATACATTTGAGAGTAATTATAAATAAATTGCCATTTTATTTTATACAACAGAAATCATAAAATAAGTTAATAATATTTCATTATGAAATCTTATTCCATTATATAATTAATTAATCTATAGTTGGTGAGTTGAAGTAATGTATACAATATATTTTTTTATTTATTTTATAAATATATATATATAGTAACTTATAGTTTATATCATTTGATGCTTTATTGAGTAACTTTAACTAATTTAATATAAAATAATGAAAATTTGATCAGAAAATGCTACTTAAGCTTCTCAGAATATTCAATAGAATATTAACAAATTATTTGATTTAATTTAAGGAGTCAAATACTGATAAAAATAGTAACCTAATAAATGCATATTACATCCTAACTACGCAATGTTATTCATAGACATTTTACCAATATCCTGTTAAGAACACTAAACCTATTTCGACAATCAATGACATACATCAGTGTTTTTAACCTTTTTTTATTCTCGACCAACTCTATTATTTTTTTTTTTTAACGACTCCCACAAATAATAAATATGAAGAACTTTTGAATAGGTATATTTAAATATATAAAAAATGTAAAAAAATAATAATAATATGAAAATATATATTAGCAATTTGCTTGTTTTAATAGGAAACTTGGGCTTGAATTTTTGAAATTATAGTCTACATATTAAGTTTTATATTAGAAACTTCTAATCTTAAATCTGGTTTTTTTAACCAAATATATTATTAAACATTATATTTGTGAATAAATTATTGAAATACATGTATATAGTATGAATGTAAAAATAATCATATAAAATGCCAATTTTGTAATTTTAAATTTTGCCTGTAGTACGAGTAATAATGTATAATAATTATAAGAATCTTAATGTAATGTAACATATAATAAAATGTTTTGTACTTTGTCTAAAAAAAAAAAATTGGTATTTTGGATAATTCCTAGGTATTTTATAAAATAATATTGAAAATCTTGTTACGCGACAATCTTATGTTTTATTTACATTGTCTAAAATGGGTCGGCACTTTGCATAATGCCTAGGCATTTTGCAAAATACCCGAATTATCCATATTGCCGATAACAGATATATATATATATATATATTTAATACTGAGAATCATATCTTATTCAAAATCACATTAGATAGGTATCCTTATAGTTTCTATTGAATATCCAGGATATGAAAGTAGAAACTTTTACCAATATTTATTTTTTTAATCTGTTATCGTAATATCAGCTAAATACTTTTCCATATTTTAATTAAACATAATATATACTCTAACATATTTGATTTCTTAATATTAATTCAAAAATATTAAACATATGAATAATTGTTGTAAATGTATATAGTAAAAGTTTGTATTATGTTATATAAGATTTATATATACATATAGTACAATAACAAATTGATAAAATAAAATAATTTATTACTACTGCACTTAAATATAATTTTCTTCAGTTACCAAATAGTTTTTTCTGTTTTATCATCTTTCATGGAATCTTCAATAGTTTTATTTGATACTTCTTTAAGGTAAGCATGCCATATCAATGTTTATATTCATATCCAAATGTTCGGTATTTTCATTCTACCGTTCCCCTGCTGATTTTAATTTTTCCTATGTTATTCATAATATTCCTATTAATCATCCTAGTGACTCCATTCAAGTGATATATGCATGGTTTTTACAAAATCATCTTGATTGTTCATTGAAAATTGATGATTACTGCAATCCTCCATCTTACATGTGAAATAAGTAATTTAGACTTTAGGCTGGTTATCTTGAATAATGAATTCATATTTTGATTACCTAGAAAATATTTTAACTAGTTAAATACATTAATTATGAACTATTATTTGTTATTATAATTATTAATTATAGAGGTCATATTCCTACAGTATATTTTATCAATTTATAAATCCATATATTATATTCAATATTGTATACAAGCAAAACCAGGTAATTTAGCTAGTATTATATAATACTAACATTATATTTTTTAATTGAATTAATTTATTATTATATTTAAAAAGAAAACAATGTAACAAACCAATTATTTGAAGTTGATGTAGGTAAATTACATTCAGTGATTGAATAATATATTAGTATGCAAATATACATTAGTTCACAGATAAAATAGCAACAACTTTTAAAAGTAAAGAAAAAAATTATTCTAGATGCATTAATAAAATACCAACAGCAGCTGGCACTACTTTAGCCAGTATCTATAGATTTAGTACATTTCAGTCAGTTACAGAACAATTGGCGGTACTATAAATAATAAAATGAAAAAAAAAATGCCATATATCTTTTACGTTGTACTAAAAACTAAAATTTGATAACTCTTTAATGTTTGTGCATTCTGCAAGTCCACAAATTTCTCAAAAATGTACATACTTAATCACTGTGTATGATTAATCAACAAAACATATCTTTACCGAAATGTTTATTTGTACTTCATTGACGTTTACTAATCGCAAATGGTTGAACCACTCTTACTAATTTTATTTTAGACTTTCTACACTCCGGGTTATTCAAAAGAAATGGTTAAATGGTGATTTAAATTAATGATCAGTTACTAATGTTAGTGACTAGAATACATACACGAGGCTACTAATGATTTACCTACTGAAGATTGAAATCTGTAGTTTGTTCTATGTAATCATAGATGAAAGACATTTATCATCAATGTTTTGCTGCACAATAGGTATTGTGATAGTTATTCTAGTGATAAATAAGTGGTGATAGCATACTACTACTACAGAATAAAAAATAAAAAGATTTTATGTTTATCCATACCTTGAAAAAAATGTCTATCGCATCTAATTCATTGTTGCATGACAACTGAATTTTTCAGATGTTTCCACCAACTTTAAATTCATTTTACGTTTGTTCATTCTCCATATATATTATACAGAATGTCTAAAAAACAAAAAAAAAAGGTACATTAGCCAGCCAAAAATTTAAGTGACTCAACGGTAGAACGAAAAAATGAAAAAAAATCAACGGTGACAAATATTATAAACTAGTTCAAATTTTACAAAAAGGTTAATTTTTTAACGTATGCAAAATATTTATATTGATATAATCTCTATCAGATTAACCCGGCATCAGTGGTATCGTTTAAAAACACGTGAGAGGTGGCATCAATCTTTTTGACCGAACAATACAAAATTATACATTTTGATCTAGGCATTCTCCGTCAGCTAAAATTTATCATGTAAACACAATATTTAATTAATATGATGAATATTTTATTTACATCTAATTTTTTGCATTTTGTTTTTTATAATTTTCAAGTAATGAAATAAGTTTTCAAAATCTCAAAAATAACCAAATACTTAATAATATTAATTAATAAAAATTATAAATAATTTCATTTATCGATACATTTATTTGAAATTAAAATTTTGCAGTTTAGAAATAACATGATCAATTGGTAAAATTAAAATAGATTTGATTTAAAAAAAATATTATTTTATAAAATGAGTGACTTTACACATATTCGTCCGAATTTTCAGTTTTGTCTAATGCCATGCTTCTAGAACATTCGGGACATACTAGTACAGTATGTTCTCGGCAGATGGGTGAATTACAATGAATACAACGGCTAAAATTTTAGACAGTACTGAACAGTCAAATGTCAATCTAATCTTGGAAGCGTAAATGTGCGGTGACCGATAATACCTATTACCTACAGTAAAACAGATAGTATAATATATCTATGGGTTTAGCCACATTGTTTATAAATAGACATATTATTATAACTGTGTAAACAATATGTTGACGTCAAAATTAAATATACTAAAAATAAATAAAAATAATTACAAAATCAAGAAAACAATGTTGAAATCATATGAATGAAAATAGTGGCATCGGTCATAAATTTATCAATAAACGGTATAAGTTCATGTTAAAGATATAAATTTACATTAAAATATAAAACAACTACTCTTTATGGGTCGAAGAAAAGGTAGTGAGTAGAAAAAATACGGATATGGTTCCAATTATAAAATTATTTAAGAAATTAAAAAACTGCCGGTCAAAAAGATCGAAGCCACTGATGCCACTGACTTAATAAGTCAGTTGCATGACGGGGTCAGTGCAACGGGAGTAGGTAAGAACTTACATGTATTATGTCCGTAATAAGTCTAAGGCGGCAACTCACAAGCAAAACAAAAACGAATCGAAACGGTTGACTGGTTACCGCGCAGTTGTTCACTATTTTATCGGTCGCGTACGTTATTTCGTGTACCCGACTCGACCGTCGTAATAACGATAATTGCTATTATTACTATGGAAAATTAACCGTTTGTCTTGTATTCGCGTAAGCTGTACGTCACACTCATGCTTCAGTTGTTTAGAAGCGAACAGTCGAACCGTTAAGGCTGGGGCACACAGAACGCGGTCTGTCACGGCGGTAAGCGGTATTTTCCCGCAGCTGTTAAGCGGTAAAGAAAATGTAATACCGAATATCGCATTATCCCTGTCACACAGATGGCGTTCTGTCGAGGCGGTACAATTTAAATCGCAACGACAGGCGATACCGTTGTACAAAATTACGAAATTCCGCGCGGGCAGCTGTCGATCTGTTGTTATTTATTGGTTTTTTTATATTCTATTGTAAAGCAATTATATTATATTTTTTAAAATGGCTAAAGAAACTGAAATGCTCACCGAGCAAGTAAGAAAGTATGTGTACTATCCGACACATCTCGTGAGAAAAATTTAGTAAAAAAAGCCGAAGCATGGAATAAAATATCCGAAGAACTGGGTATAACCGGTAAGTATATACTTTATAGTAGAAACTAGAAATAGTAACATACAGTAAAATATAATAGATTTATTAATAGAATAGACTTCTATATTTATAGTCTTTATGCAGTGGTGTATCCAGGATTCATTTAACGGGGCTGTTTTAAAATTTAATAGACTTATAGTAAGCGGGGGTCTGCCCCACCCCCCTACTCCTTACATTTATAAATACCATGTATTTATATAAATTATTATATTGATAGAAATTATTATATTTACATATACCTACGTTTAGTTAAATTATACTGTAATTAAGTTTGCAATTTGGTGAAATACAATAAAATACGGTCGATAGGGGGTGTTCCAACACCCAAAATACGCCCCTGTCTTTATGTATCAAGTTTTTCCTTTTATTTTTAAGGGCAAGCAATAAAAGAAGTTGTTCCTCGTCAGAGAACTTGACATTATTGTAAAATGGCGATTATTAAAATAATGAAATCAAGTGGACAGATATGAGCAGCTGTGTATTAGATTACTAAATTAGGTACTAGATTATGACTGTTGTAGCGGTACAAGTATAATTTGTAGTTAATACAAATTATCGCTGCCTGTGTGCCGTCATCAAATCGCTATCCGCCGCGACAGACCGCGTTCTGTGTTCCCGAACCTTTAATTGTGTTGTCGCGTCGACTACTATCACTGATATCGCATTATCTCGCTTTCCGCTATCCGAGACAACGGCCGCGCCGTGGAACAATAAAACGTTTCAACGGTTTTACGAACAATTGAAATTTTGAAATATTTTATGAAGTACCTTTGTACTATACACCGTACAATTAATCCGATAAAACATTTTGCGTGTATTCCCCTTGTTCATTGTTCAGTAATCGTTTGCACTGCGTTCAGTTGGCATACGTTAAAACGCAATGGCGTCGGGTGTTAACGATTTGTGACCACATCACAAACGTAACGCCTCGACCCATTTATTGTTTTCGTTTTCAGATCGATGGTAGAAGTGTTAGATCCGTAAGTGTAGTCCATAAGTGTGTTTCTTGTAGTTGTTCAGTTGTTTGCACCAATTATTAATAGCACCTATTTTAATCATTTTTGGATCGATAATTTTTTTGAAACAAAAATTTGACATACCGGTTGAAATACACTAGTACAAAAATGGTTGCGATGTTTTGTTCAGTAAAAAGTCTTTAAATTTTGTATTCGACGTCAAAAAAACGAAAGTGAAATAAATTCAAATAACCCTTGGCTTGCCAAACATGATTTGACATTATTAACAAATTGGTTTGAAACATTGATTTACCCAATAAATGAAAATCATTTCAATTGCATGATATGCATCATGATGGACGATATGTTTGACATTCTCAACAATACTGATGACCAAAGTAATTAAGTATAGAAGGAACGACGAGGAGACAGGGTGTTGTTTGAACTTATTATTAAGTATAAGATTATGATTGATTAATCAATCTTGATAAAAAATATAAAATTAAACTGTACTCAAATTGATGTATCCATGTCAGTAAAAAAAAAAAAGAAAATTGTCTAATATATGGTTATTTATGCTTTTACTAGTTGCTGTCATATCTAACTGATAGATTTTTAATCACAACCAGACAGAAATGTTCAATATGTGTATCAAAATAATTTAACAACATTTTGTATTTTACAATAATTAATTTCAAAATGTGATGAACAAGTCTCGATTCTATTATAAAATATATTTTGTTTGTTTGCTCTTCGATCTAGGAATTCTCTAATGAAATAATTTATTCATTTGGTGAAATGTGGTTGATAAAAAGTGTCATTCATGGTAAACTACAGCATATCCATTGGTAGGTCAGTGTTAAACTCTTGCAAACCAAGAAGTGAAAAATATATTAATATCTTGGATTCTTAGCTACCAATATGTAAATGCGTTAAATCGATCATGCAGAAAAGTGATGGGAATGTGATAAAATAGATAAATTTTGGTCGCTATCCAGTTGCATTATCTTGGAAAAGAGAGTATAGATAGAAGAAGACACTAATAATCTATAATTTCTGTGGAATTCAAAGTGAATAATGGATACTATCAAATTTGGAGTATAATGGTACGTATAATATATATTTATTTTATTTATATGTATTGAGCCAGAGCTCTTTGAATATGATTTAAATACATTGAAAATAATTACAAAGACTGACAATATAATGCAACAATAATATAATTAATTTTACAGAGAAATAAACACTAACAATTTAATTTAAAATAACAGAAAAATATTTTTCTAAAAAATTTTAAATTTAAGAAAGAAAGAATTTTATTTGTTGTTTCTTTACATTAATATAACACTACATTTCAACTTTAATGGTACGTTAAATTATTGAGCCATTGGTGTAGTCCTTTAACGGTAATATTTATATTTATATATATATATATATATATATATATATATATACATATATTATAAACAAGTTTTTATCAATATCTTATAACAAATTGGCAAATATGAGAACTCACTGTACACTTTATAAAATTAACTGCATGATAAATAATAATATACAAAAAATTCAAAACATTAATTCATGTAAACATTTAGTGGCCAATTCTAAAACCAAAATAATTAAAATATCACACCTGAATCACCATTTAAGTACAAGGTATAGGCCATGTCAGATACATAATGTAAATGTGTATTATATTTAATACTTTAATTATATGTAGTATGGCACATAACTGTGGGTTATTAATATTTTTATTATACCCTATAATTGTTTTATAAATCGTTCATTGGGCTTCTATTTAATTGAGAAATCTATCTCTGCTTACAACAAATTAATTATAAATACTTCAATATTAAATATCATTCCTAATGATTATTTCAATAGCTATTATATAATTAAATATTTCATATATCATGCTAAGTAAATACAAGGTTAGGTTAACTAAGAAGCCAAATAATAGTAGCCAAAAAATAATACACAATTAATTATAAAACTGTTGTTTATTGACGATAATATTTACCATAAAGTGGTAAAGAACGTAAATTAGTAAGTAGAGCTTGCTCTTGTATTAATTTGTATAACTAAGAAGCCAAATAATAAAAACGGAAAAATAATTCACAATCAATTATAAAATTATTGTTTAATGTTGATAATATTCACCATAAAGTGGTAAAGAACGTAAATAAGTACGTAGAGCTTGCTCTTGAATTAATTTATCGTACTGTGTTCTGTTCTGCCTGAAATTAAATTAAAAATAGTACTTATAATATTGTTAATAAATTAATAATTAAATTGTTAAATGAGAATAGAAATTAAATTAAATGATATTACTCATAAAGTTTAAATGCATCCATATTCACACAGCAATCATCAGTATAAGTTGGTCTATCCAAAAATTCTTGGAACGAAAACAGTATTGTCTTAATTGTATTCTCTGGTTTCCAATTGAAAATAATAGGTGGTAAAATGGCAAGACCTTATCATAAAAATCATGAATAGTACTTATATTTAAAAAAAATTGTCATAAGAAAACTATATTTACCGCAATCCAAAATATTAGGATGGAATAAAACAGGGTTAAATAAGCATTTAGGTGGTTTTATCGGATATTCCTCGTCAAAAATGAGCCTTAACCGATAAACACCACCTTCCCAAAAAGTCTGAAATTATAATAAACAAAACCATTGATTATTTTGATCAGTATATTTAAAAATATTATTATATGTTAGTATTTTTTTTTTAAAAATTTACTAAAAAGTTATGTGCTTTTGAAATGTAATTTAATATTTTTATAAGAGACACTTTGAAAGTATATATCTGTTTTGAAAGTTTATCAATATAGCAGTTTAATTTATTAATGTTACCATATTGAATATAATGTTAGGTCAACAATTTAATTTAAAATTAATAAATACTAGAATTATTTTAAAAAATATAAAATTTAATTTAAATAATAAACCATACTTTCAAAGTTTTAATGAAATAATAACATGGATGTTGAATTATTTTAATGTCAAATAGCTTATTATTTTAAAACCAGAATACGTACGTTCACTTTACCGGGGATCACACATTCCCATTCAAGAAAATTTATACTTCCATCTTCATTTTGGGCTGGTCTAGCAACAAAACCCTACAATAAATTATGTAATAATTAATATGCTATGAAATAGGTGGTTAAATAAGGAAAGTGCGTTCTGTATTGGTATAAGACATCATATGTTTTAAGGGTTTATTTGACAAGTAAATGGTGGGACATATAGGGAAATAAAATGTCATAATGCAATAAGAAGTACATTGTGTAACTTTAAGATTTATATATGAGAGTAAGATCGGGAAATCTCTCTACCAGCTAACAATTCTTTTAAGAAGTTACCTCCCATAATGCGCCTGCACATTTCTAATGAAGTTAAACCAATTATATAAGAGTATATAAGGAAAAAGATAACTAAGCATAAGATTTCATAGTATTGCCAAAAATACTGGATCACAGTTGAGAAATTGATAAGATCATACAAACAAAATTATTTTTCTTGGATATAAGGTTAATGCATTGCAAATATTTAGCTAATTAATAATAAAATAAATTATAAGCATTAAACTAATAGTCGGTAACTGGTAAATCATGGCCCAAATGTAAATGATAGAAGGCAAAAAATTGGACAGTCAATTTGACATTAATACATTAATTTAATTTTTAAAGTTATTTTTATCATAAGTAATACAAATTAATATTTATCACATAAAATTGCTTGAAAAGTTCTAGATACTATATTGTATTTTTGTATAAACATTTTAGTAATAGATACTAATTGTATAAAAAAAAATTTGTTTTCCCTTTGGACATTGTTAATTCATTAATGTGGTTTTGACTCAAATATAAATTACTCGACGTTTGCATTATACCGAGTCACTACTCTACTTGTGTAAGTACTTGCAATATAATGTAAACTATCTAAATTAAGGCATATATATATTTAAATAAAAGTTACCTTTATTTTATAAAGGAGAAAATATTTGAAATGGCTAACTAAATGAATATAGAATGGGTAACCTATTTGCTTTTACTTACTGGAACAGGGTCTCCTCTAAGCCATATTTGTAGTTCATTTTTCAATTTCTGTATTCTGGTCGGTTTATCCATTATGCGGCCACTAATGAATGTTAATTATTGAATGAATGCGGTATTCAGAATGCCAACCAAAAATATGCATTCGTTGAACATGTGAATTTCTACAAAATTGTATAAAAAAAAAATTAAAAAAAATTTACACACATATCACAAGTTGTGTTATCAAATCCAACAGAAATAACGGAGATACCAATCTCGACGACTGACGAACAGGTACAACCTGTTGAACGTTGTAGCGGTATTCATTGTTGTGTGCGTATTGGTGACAGATTCAAGGACGGAGAGTATGTTTTGTATTTACGCGCATAATCCACGGTTTTTGACTACGTCGATAACATTATTGTCTGTAGATAATAATTTTTTTATTATCTCTTAAGGTGAATTCACAGTTACGTCGTTTGTTGTGTTGTGCGATTATAGAAACAACCAGTGCTTTTCGTGAGGGGGCGACGCAGGGGGTCGGAGTACCCCAACTAATTTTCAGAAATTTTAGTGTCCCCCTACTATTATTTCGTTATAATTATAACGCTTAGCAAGTCTTGGGGACGTTATTTTCTTTAAAGTAAACAGAGTCCCTCTTCTTTAATTTTGCTAAGTCAAGCACTGGATACAACTAATAACTACTTATTGGTCACTTTGGTATCTGTTTTTCCATAAAGCCCGTGCGTTTGAAGATAATATAATAAATTGACTTGGTATTATAAAATATAATTATTACTATTATCTATACTTATTAGTTATTATTACTGATTAAAATTGTACGTGACAATAACTACTGCTTAAACTTGTGCAAAAAAAGCCATATTTGTATTACCGAGGATCGGTGGCGAATGCTGACTCTGATATATGGGCATGCTCATTTATCATAATGTTTTATAGTTATATTTAATTTATAATTAATAAATAATACACAAATTCGTATTAATTCAATAATAAGATTTTAATTTGATATATATACAACAGTAATTATTTAAATAATATATAATTAACTAAACAGTAGTAAAAAATAGCACAATAAAACAAAACGAAGAAAAATTGTCTTATACTCGTACACGTAAATTGTATAAACTACGAAATTGACGAAATGCAACAGAATGAGCATGCCCTGGTTAATAAATACCGCGGCAACTAGTAGAGGTGGTCTCGGAATAACTGGTATTTTACAGTGATAACAAGCATCGTATAATTTCCGCACATATCTATCGCATGCTCTGTCATTAAATTTTACAAAGTGGCGATCTACCGAGGGGTGGGTGATCTACGTTTTAATGGTATAAAAACACATTATATTTTTTACTACGAGTGCGTCATATCATACAAATAGTGATTGAAAATGAAACGTCAAAATGAAATATATAACCATAAAATGGCAGTATATAGAAGAAAAGTTGCGTTATTGTATATGTGGCATAGGTCCCAAATAAAAAATACGTAAGTTCAATGATGGCTTTTTGAGTTATCACAACCATATTTATATCATATTATTATTATTCAATAATAAAATAGTGATAGTAAATTAATAATTTTTAACCGTATATACCGGAAACGACAAAAGTTGAAATATAAGCCGGGTTCACACTTCATCGTGCCGTTTGGTGTCTTCTAAAATAATTATGACTGCTTGGCTGAACCATGTTTTTACATCAAGGTATACCGTACAATAAATCACAAGTTACCTCACTAATCATATGTTAGCGTGAAGTTAATTTCAGACAACTTTTGAATGTGTGGCTACCGATTTTAATAGTAATAATTTAATATCCTATGATAACATTAGATATAATAATTAAGGCTTGGAAGATGTTGTATTTGCATGATTTTATTGGGCTATTCAATTTATTACTAAATAACCTTGAAATTATTTTCATAGCTCTACGAAAAACCTAATGGGAATATTTTGAAAGAAAATTTCAAATTTCAAGCTATTTATTTTATTTTATCTTATATTTTATACCTAGGAATTATGCTTAGGTTAGTATATAATATACCAACAACATTTGTACTGTTGTTATATACGAGTATATTAAAAATAATATCTTTATTTATGAACATTTGCGTTAAAAAAAATTAAGTGCATTTTCAAAGCATTTTTGTACTTTTTTAAACGCATGAGTGCATGCATATTTAGTACTTTTTAAGTGCATTAAGTTCCGAGTCCTAGTAATAATATAATATAATAATAATACTTACTATCTACTATATAATTAAATATTCATCAGTTATTGTTTATTGAAACTTATGATAATATTTCATATCTATTAAAAAAACCAAGAAATTTGATATCATTACCGTAAGATATACACAGGTAACAGCTGTTGTGGGCCGGCCACTTTTTTCGTCGTCTTTTAACGAGGTTCTACCGTCCTTGAATCGCTTGTACCACGTATAAACAATAGAGCGTTATACTACACCACCAAAAGCAGTGTCAATCATTTTTCGTGTTTCCGTAAATTTTTTTTTGTGTATCAAAATTTAACTTAAGAACGATATTCGAATATTTCCTCCATTTTGCAATTTGCATCAGAAATACCAATACACGTTCTTCAAATACGTTAAATACATTAAGTACTGAACGGAAAGTGATAAAATTTTGTACACATACTGCTGATAAATGTAGCTACATGGTACCAGTTTTGTTTGATAGATTGCTTCACTTGTACAGGCGCTGGAGAGAAAGTTCGGGAACTTTTCCGACACGCTGTGTATATTGGTATCACATATTTTTAAAGCACATTATCTGGTTAAATACACGTCACGGTGTAGTGTGAACACCCGACTGTATTCAATTCTTGGTATCTTCGGTTTTAACTTGGTTATACCAACATACCAAAAGTTAAACGTCCAATTAGAATGCGGTTTGATTGATACGACGTAGCTGTGAATCCAGCTTTAGACTTGTTGACCACCACGAATTATGAAATATTGGATGCAAAGTAATATTTTTTTCTGAATATCTTGTATTGTCTTATATTTCTTCTAAAGACGTATTATTGCACCTTATATAATAATTTACCCTATCTTAGTGATAGTACCGATGGTCATAAATTTGATTGATCTGAGATCGTACACGGTCCTTGATATTATTTGCACTATTTTCTATATTTTTAAAAGTTTATAACGTTCCTAACATTCAAATTTTTTGTTCATGACGTTTTAATACACCCGTTGTATACACTACTGATATAGAGACATTTCTATACAATTCATACATTTTTTGGTTGAAAGATGTGATCCACTTTTTCAGCGATGGTTGAAATTATTTAAAAAAATACTAGCCTAACTACAACAGTATCAAGACGAGAACAGGAAAAATGGATTAGTCTTTTATTCCTGTCCGCCGTTGAAGTGAAGCTCTATTCTTTTGAGAATTGCTGCGCATCGTTACTCGAATTGATGAGCGAAGCGGGTAGATGAACGAATGCGGTCCTTCATTCATCATTAAAATGTTTTAAAATATTAAAAATGAAATACGAAAAAAGTGCAAGACATCTAACGTCGGTTTAAAACTCATAAAAAATGTTAAAAACGTTCTAATCGGGATAGAACCAAGTCCTGAACTACTTATGTGAACGATTTTATAATTTGTTATTGTCATTTTAATGGTTCATTAGTCAATCTATACTTCCTAAACTTAATAATGAATCATATTCAATATATTTTTCTTTTGAATCACTTATTATACAATTTTTTTTTTTAATTTTTGAATAATAAAACCAGTTATGTATTCGGTAATATCATCAATAATACATTTCAATAATTCCTAGTTTTCTGTAACATTTATTACTTTACCTGCCATTATGTTTGGTTGCAGAACAGGAATGTAAATACTCGTATTTCTTGTTTTACTTAGTTGCTTAGTAATGATTTAACTTTTCAGTGCCCATTGTTGCATATCTGCAGCATGTTATTTTCTTTTTCGTTAGAAACTAGGTTATTAATATAGGTGGTGCTCTCTATGAACAAAAGAAACAACTATTTACCCATTTATTAAACATTTGATTGTAAATAATATGATAAAGTGATTATGTTTCGCGGTGAAAATTTCGTTCTCATCATTTATCATTATCACCGATGGTTTGAGTTGTTGTACTTGTTATTAAACTAAAAATTGATTTTTTGTAGTAAAAAAAAAAAATATTTTTAAGTTAAGGTAAGTTTTAAAGATATATTTTACTATATAGTTGATAGTTTTTATGAATTATTTTAAGATTTATACCATAATTTAATAATGTTGCATTTATGCTATAGTGGATATCAACGTACAAAAAATGAAAAGACAACATATTATAAAGGATGAACAAATTTTGGAAATTTTATTTCAAACAAACTGGTCGGATAGTGAAGATGATTTTGAATTGTCAGATAATGAAAATGAACAAAATAGTATCCAAGTACCAGAACATATTGGAATTCCTAGAAATAATGTTGAAGGTAATTAAACAGTTTTATTATCAATTGTTATTATATTTTAAATTCAGTATAATATTTTTGCTATAGATAATATAGATTTATATGCATTGCCTGTTGAAGTTCAGTTCAACAATGGGGAAGTCCTTGTTCTTCCTCAATATCCTGTTATATCTAATCAAGAACGTAACCAAAATTGAAACTAAAGTAGGAAGTACTCGACCCCAATCATTCTGCCCAACAAAATCTGTAAGAACAGATAAAACTGACCATAGGCCTACATTTACTGAGAAAAGAGAGAGATGTTAAATACCTCAATGTAAAGGCTTTACATTTGTAAAATGCACCAAGTTCAGTATATATTTGTGTTTTAACAAAAATAATAATTGTTTTATGAACTATCATGTACAAAAAAGTTTTAAAATAAAAATGTATTATATATAATAACTATTATTATTATATTTATTACTACCTATATAATATAGTAATTATGTGTATGTAAAATTGTAAGTATGAATTTCTTATAAGATACCATGGACAAAAATTGGTCATTAAAGCCCATTGTTGCATATGTGCAACATGATTTAAAATTGAAAGTTTTAAAAGATTTATTAAGTTTAGATTTTTTTTTCTTATTTTTATCAAATTCCTGACATTTCAATCTTTATAATTAAAATAAAACCAAGAAAAAATAATAATTTGGGCACAAATTAATATTGTATATGGAAAGTGAATATTTTTATGACTCATCACTAAAAACAATTGAGGAGTTAAATATTTTAAAAGACAAGTTATTGAAAAACACATTTAGACTTAAAATGGTTTGTAAATAGGCAGTAGTCAAAATGGCTCAAGATAAGTTAAAGTAAACTTTAACATTCTGGATTTTAAATTATCAGCTAAGCTTCAATAAAATTGTGTATAGTTTATTTTATTTTTATTATTTTCATGAAGTTCAATATTTTTAAAGGCCAAACTGCATTCAAAATTCTCAGCTTCTTTATAAAAAACATCATTACACTTCTCAGACATGGATTCAAAAATCGGAATTTGTCTTCTAATTTAGTTATGAGCATCAGGTAGTTTTGTACAACGTTTTTGAAGTTCTAATGAAATGTCTGATAGTTATTTTAGAGCATTATATAGAAGACATAAATTCAAAACAAAATCAGTTGATGTTATTTTATGTTTTAAACCTTTAAAGATTGCTTTTTCTTTAGATGTTCTCGAGCTATCCAAACTACATTTATCAAAATGTAAATAAAGTGCTTCATAGTTTTTCCAGAAAACTTTAACTGACCTCAAACTTGAAGCTACCCATCTTGTATTTAAAATGCGACCAATTGAAAGAAATTGTAAATCTAATTCATTAGCACAACTCTTTTACCTATACTGGTTTTTTTGGTGATGAATTATATAATGCATAGAGAGTATCAAAAAATATTTAAAAATTACTTATGCCAACTACCTCGTTAACTACATCATCAACAGCTAGTTTAAGTCTATGATTAGAGCAATGCCAGACCAATAAATCGGGATATTTGTCAGTTAAAAGTTCTCCCATGCCTGCTTTTTGGCCAATCATATAAGAAGCTTCATCACAAGCAAAATAAATAAAATTTTATATTAAGTATTCATGAGAAAATTTTTGATTGTTTAGACTCGATAAAAGTTGCAAAACTATGGTCTCAGATTTTGTATTTTCTAATTCTAATAAATCTAAAAAAAATGTTATTGGGTCTGTTTTATTTTTGACATCTATGGAAGCTTTAATACAAACAACCAAACAAGTCTTTTTCGACACTGAGGTAGCTTCATCAATTAATACTGAAATTTTAAAATTATTTTTAATAAGAAAATTTCTAACTTTTGCTTTCATTCCTATTACTATATGACTAGCAATATCAGCACAAGCATGATCGCTGTATAAAATGTGACTCATATCCAATTCAGTTAACTTTTGAAGTTGAATGTCAATTGGTAAATCAGTAAATGGTCTTGTTTTTTTAACGATATAATATACAGTATTAAATACTCTTATTGTACTCTCAAATTTACCAGAAATTCCCCTTGACACAGATTTTAGCAAAATATTTTCTTCTTGTGCTTTTAAAATTTATTCACATCTTTTATGACATTCACTAATTTTATGCTTATTGATTTTTTTGCTTAAGAATTGTCATTTATCTTTTTCACTAGCTCCATGAGTATATACAAGATTTGGGTAAAATACTTTTTAAAATTATTTAGAATAAATACTCGAATTTTTACAAAAAAAAGTATTCCGAATATGTATTCAAATAAATTATACAAATTGTATTCCAAATACATTATTTAGAATACTTCAAAAGTATTCCGAATACTTTTAAAATACTTCTAGTTTTCATATTATCAAAATAATAAATGTCCACTCAACAGAAATATTTGAAATTGAAGACTAAATATATGTTATTGTATTGTATTTTTATATTACATAACTGTTATAGTTTATGGTTTACAACAATAATAAATATCTGATATTAGCTAATGAAATATACGACGGAGAAGTAATAAAATCATTTAAAAAGAGATGATATAACGGTATTCGAAATACAGTATTCAGAATACTCATTATAAGTATTCGAAATACTTAAAAAGTATTCTGAATACAGTATTCCGAGTATTGTATTCGGAATACTACCCAAGTCTGGTATATACACTGCACTCTATCCATTCAATAGCAAATCTAATACCTTGTGTTTTATATGTGGCAAGGTTTTGAACCTGTACGCATATATTACAGCCCAATTTTTGGTATTTTACCACTATCCAAGTATATTTATTAAGAAATGTTAAAAACATTTCATTTGTCCAAATATTTGGATAATCGTTACCATTTTTATCACCACTTTCATTAGAGTTGTTTGAACAATTATTATTATTACAATTTAATTCTGTACTCACAATTTCAGCTTTATTAGATGATGCTTTTATTATTACTTAAGTAAAAATCAATGAATCGTCAATTGGGTTCACGTTTGTTTTTGGTTATCCAATTTAATAAAGACATGCTTAAAATATACTTATTTATTCAAAGTCTATTCGTAGAGAATATAATATACTGTTGTCGAACGGTTGAGCACTAATGTTCTGATACTAATACTAATATTATTAGTGATGGGCGTAATCGAGATATCTCGATTATCAAAATAATAATTCGATTTTATACCCAAGAGATTATTTCGAGTGATATCTCGTTTATTTTAAAAATAATCAATTCTTTATCTCGAAATGTGTATCGAATGAAAAAATATTTCGAACGATTTTCGTGGAACGAAGGAGTGAGGGAGGAATATTATTTTTAATCATCATAATCGAATAAGTAAATACTAGTTGTTCACTTTGAGTCTTTGTATTTATGATTCGTGCTACTCGTGGGACTGGTTGTTAGAGAAATATTGATGGGTATACGGTTGTTATTAGTTATTTATATTTTAAAGTTTAATATAAATATATAGCTATAATTTTTGAATTACTCAACCACAAAACAATAAAAATTTCTTAGAACATTTATAAATAAAATTATATTATATTTATATTTATATATTATATTTCAATGGAACATTTTGAATGATTATTTCGAGACATCTTGTGATCATAAAAATAATATTTCAATTATTGAAATCATTTGATTATGCCCATCACATAAAGAATCAAAATTTAGGTTTAACGCCTACCTTCACAAAAATATAAACGTTTTTCAATGACGTATTACTGAAGACCATGGAGTTATTACTTGTTAATGAGAGACAATGGATATCCCTCCAAAATCTTAATGTAGTGGTAATTTTTATGGGCGCATCATGCATCGTAATTTTCATGAGCGCGTTGTGCATCTACCCGGTTGCCCGGTGGGCCAGTACGGGCCTGGCTTATACTAAATAACGTGATAAGCCCGGGCGCCCGAGCCTGAATGTTAAAAACAATTATTTTCACAGAAAAAAAATAATTTCTTATATATAAATATAAAAATGATAGTAAGTATATCATTTTAAAAAAACAAGTTTTAGGAGGAATCCATCTATTGTCATTGTGGTTGTGTCTGCAGACTTTAATCTATTGTGTACGACGTCGAATTTCTCCAATAATACCTATCTATTTTTAGACTTGTACTGATAAAATAGTATTATCATTTTTACCTTTTGAGTAACAGTGAACATTTATATTTTAATTTAATTATAAACTCAATATGTTTAAAATTATTCATTCTATATATATCTTTCAAATAAATATCTATCAGCTCACTAAATCCAAAATAAATTGTCAGGTGTAGCGAAAGCAGCATTCGCTGCACCAGTGCCCACGCCTATAGTCTCGGTAGTCATTCTTATCCAATACCTCAAATCGTTATGGAAGTGTCGACGATTAGATTGATAGACGACGGATTAATGTATTATACGCGTTCCGTGAAAAAGCAGACGTTTTTGTAGCTATTGATAAGTATTATAACTATTTTCGAAAACCCATTTTTCCACTGCAGTAGACTATAGTATTATGTACAGCACGACGACACGTAGTATGTATACGAATTGTGAATGAGAATCGGGAAAATATATGATTTCCGTCCCTAGTCGACTGATGCACGTAGATGTCGCGCCAGTAAGGTAGGCAACTTAGTATACATGACCGTGTAGAATTACATTTAAAGTAAACCGACAACGTAAAATTATATGGGACTGTAAAAGCGAAAATACGATTCTCTTAAAATGTTTTACTCGAGGAAATTATTTATAGATTTTAGGGACTATCAGGGCCCTCACATAAAATTCTAGGCTTCTGTATTAAATGTTTGTCTGGGACTGTAACAAAACTTCCAATAATACAACTTAACATAAACTATTAAAAAAGTATAAGTTCATAAACATTTTGATAAAATAATAATGTATTTTCTTATTCATATTTAATTAATTTTTATTATGTTGGAAATTGTATTTTACGGGCTTTGAGAACAGTGAACTCAGTTATGATATTGTCGAAGTTAATGTATTCTTCATTGATAAAAAAGCAAGTGAGTTTAATCGTTTTTGACTCGTTACTGATCTTTGCTATAAAGACCATTCTACTTCTGCTACAATCACTGTAATAGTACAAAATATTCGAAAACTAATACATGCGTTTATAAAAAATGTTTGCACACTTTTCGCATAAATATATTTAATAGTTTGAGTGGTGAAATAACAATGCTTTTTTGAAATGTTGAAGGATGAATAGTTTTATGATGTAATATTTCATGACACATATTTTCAGATAAATCTGATTTGTATTTTTATATAAATGATTTGGTTTTTGATTCTTAATTTTCATTAATCAGCAATAAAGAGTATAATAATATTTTAAAAATGTTAAAAATATTTTCGACCAATTGAAATCGATGTTCAAAATCTGACCAAATAATGTCAAACGATATCAAAAATTATGTATAATATTTTTGTGAAAGAATTTATTTTTACCTTCTTTTAATTGTTTACTGGTAAAAAAAAAAAAAGAAAAAACTGCTATTATATTATTTAATTATTTATTTTACACATATTACGCATATCATAATATAAATTATAATAAATTAATAACTACTTATTTTTAGTTTAATAAACTAACAATTACTTGGTATACATTTATTAAATAAAATAAATACCTTTAATTAATAATAATGATCTAATATCACCAAAATATTTAAAATTTGCCACCTTATGAAATTGTCTAGTTTGTCTGACACAGAATTCATCAATGCGTAAATATCGACTTGAAGAAAAGGTCTTATTATTTTTGAATTTTGCATTCACAATAATTTTTAATTTGTTGAACACCTATAGTACTGATTAAACAAGGTATTTTACCAGGGTTCATTCAAGTCAAGGAAACGTCATGGAAAAATTAATTAATTAGATTACACCAAAAAGGACATTCGATCACTGAGAATAAAGTTGGTTGACAATAATAACACTCAACTAGGAAAATACAGTTTAAAACCTTGTAATTGATATTATGTTGTACAAAAAAAAGGTTTAGGTATAATAATTTTTTTATTGTGTAATAGGAGACAAGTCATGGCGATTCATTGTTATTACATTTTGGTTGGCCACAAGTCAACAAAAATACAATTATTACGCTATTCATTTATGGAGTGCTAGATAATTAATTCTTAACATGTCTGAATAAACTATTTTAGAGTATTAAAAGTCTTGAATTATCGTATTAAACGATAAAATAATGTTTTCTGTGATTTATATATATATATATATATATATATATATTAATATATATAAAGACAAAAGGGTATTAAAAAAATATTAGTTTTCTGAAATCACAGAAAACATTATTTTAATGAAATGTTGTGTGTGAGGTTATTTTGATTCGATAATGGTTTAGTTTCACAACTTGAGTCAATATAAAATATTTTTTACTCACACGAAACAGATTAACAAGTTTTTTTTGAACTATTTTTGATATTTTAAATATAAGAATGACGTGTTCGACGGTTTGTGATAAATTTGTATTGATAGTCTCCGGAACTTTTTGACCGATTTTGATCTTATTTTGATTACTGATCTCAAAATGCTCAATAATAAAATAAACTCAATGAATTGAAAATAATTATAAACTAACCCGAGCGAAGTTGGATAAATAAGCTAGTATATATATTCTAAAATGATTTTGAAAATTTTTCTGTGCAGTAAACTTTCTATTTTTCACGGAATTAAGTGGCACAGTAATTGTGGATAAGTGAATTTCACAGGTAAACCAAAATAAGACGAAATAAACTGAAAATTAACACAAAAATGCTTTCAACATTTAAATTATTACATTTTTAGAAGTATTTATTTATTTTCATGCAAATCTGTAAGTTGCCTTTGTTGCTTTTGTGTCGAAACCCATCTTCTTTATTTGTGACTGAAGTTTCTACAGTAAAATTTTGTAATTATGTGTTATCTTATTGCTCCATATATCGAATAAGTCTATCAATAAGTGTTCAAACTGCGTCAACTAAGCTAAAAATCGCGTTATCGCATTTTAGCAAGCCATTTAAGCAGATTGTTTAAAATGTTTAAAAAATATATTAATAATATTTTGTTACCATACATTTTCTATGTTACTTATTTATATACTTCTATAATTATTGGTTATCACATAAAGTTATCATTACTTCTTCTTTGCATTGTAAAACCTTTTTTCTTTTTATATAATTGTTTTTCTTCTTATTTCTTATTAATTGTATTAATATTTTTATATATAAATATAATAATTTTGTATTCACTATTTTTATAATTTTTGTAACTTCTATTTAGTTAGGTACTCTTTCCTCAAGCACAGTCACAGACCTCTGAGAAGAAGTTATGATTGTATTATTTATTTGTAACTGTAATACTATCTATATGCATGTTGTACTTATTAAAATAATTCTGTTCCGTGGAAAATCAAGGATAATCTAGAGTATTATGATTATGTACGTACGCAATGTGCACGACGATTTGAAGTGAAAGCTGTGCAAATTGTGTTGGCCAAATTTTTTCTACACACCTAGAATTATAATATTGACTTTGGTATAATAAAGCTATAAATAATTCGAGATGAAACAACAAATTACATCCGTTAGTCGACAGTTTCACATCGAAGTTTGTAAATCATTTTGATTACATATTATACCATAACGTGTTGAACTAATATTTAATTTTTCCAATCATTATTTTATAATTACGAAAAATTATGTAATGTTTATTTTATTGTCCAAAAATGGTGATTGTTCGTCATTGTACGTTTTCATTATAATTTATTGAACGTCTATTACAATGTTTTCATTGTACATGTAAACAATGTAACAATGTTTACAAAAAGTAGAAAAAGCTAAATGACTTAAAGTGAGGAAAATATTCAAATGGATTAAGGTACTATTAACTTGAATAATTTATCTGAAAAATGTTTTTCATTAATTAATTAAAAATAATTAAAACATGTAAAAATTTTCGTGATTAAATTTCTATAATTTTCTATGTTTTAACATTACTAA